GCTTTTCCATTTACTTTTATTTTATGTATCTCCCTGTGTACTACATGTGTGCAGTGCCCACAGAGGCCTGAAGAGGGCATTAGGTACCCTGGAACTAGGTTTGCAGATTGTTGAAAGCTACCTTGTAGCTGCTGGGACTTAAATCCAGGTCCCTCGGAAGGACAACCATTGAGGCCTCTTTCTTGGCCACAGACAAAATTTTTTTCTTTTTGTTTTTTGAGGCAGTGTCTCACTAGCCTCTGATTAGCCTGGAACTCCATTTACAGACCAGGCTGACCTTGAACTCACAGAGATTCTTCTGCTTCTGCATGATGAGTGCCACCAAGTCTTTCAAACTAGTTTTTGGAAAGAGGAAAAAAAAAGGGGGGGGAGTGCTTGGAGATTGTCCCACTTCAGTGCATTCTGTTTGGAGTGTGGTTGTCACAGGGACTGAGGACCTGACTCGGTGGGCAGGGCCAGAGCTGTGTACGACCTGCACTTGCCCAGGTGCTCAGTTGGCAGTTGCTTACCTGGCCACATGTAGTCCTTTTCTTGTCCAGATGGGGAGACGGAGGCCCAGAGTGCCAAAGTAGAGACAGACTCTTGGTCTTCCTGTCGTGGGCCTTATGGTTCCAGTCTGAAGGGCCCTGCTCTAGCAAGGCAGGTAGCCTTGGGGAGTCAGCAGGGCCACTACCAATGAGCAGTCTGTCCTTGCAGGAGCACCAGACTGTGGTCTACCAGATGATCCAACAGATTCAGCAGAAACGGGAGCTGCAACGGCTGCAGATGGCTGGGGGCTCCCAGCTGCCCATGGCCAGTCTGCTGGCTGGAAGCTCCACCCCACTGCTGTCTGCGGGCACCCCTGGCCTGCTGCCTACAGCATCAGCCCCACCCCTGCTGCCTGCTGGAGCCCTGGTGGCCCCTTCGCTCGGCAGCAATACAAGTCTCATGGCTGCAGCAGCTGCGGCTGCAGCAGTAGCAGCAGCAGGCGGACCGCCAGTCCTCACTGCCCAGACCAACCCCTTTCTCAGCCTGCCCGGGGCAGATGCCAGTGGGAGTGGCCCCAAAGGAGGGGTAAGTAAGGGGCATGGGTCTTCCTTTGTCCCTTCTAAGGGACAAGCAGAGGGGGATGGCTACAGTGACATCATCAGATAGATCTGTAGTGGGAGGCAGCAACCCCTAGGTCAACCAGATAGCTGGCTGCAGACAGCAGGACCTCAGTGCCCATTGGGGTTCCCTTCTTCAGAGGCAAGAAAGGCCACTCTGAGCCATTTAGAGAAAACAGCCTTCCAGCTTGGTGAGATGGCTCAATGTATAAAAAAAGGGTGCTTGCCACCAAACCTGATGACCTGAATTTGATCTCAGGGACTCATGTGGTGGAGGGAGAGAGCTGACTCCAGGAATCTGTCCTCTGTTGTGCACACATACATGATACACATGCATATACACATTGACTGTGATTTTCTGTTTTATTTTAAAGTCTATTTTAAAAACCAGCTTTCCAATGGGAAGAGTAGTTAGAAAATGCTGTTTCCCTCCTGTGTGCAGCAGTTAGAAAGAGATGCCTTCTGGGCAGGCCTGTTTCTTCCTTGGAGAATTCACTCTCCCGAGCCCTGGAAGCCAGCTCTGGGTACAAGTTAGGCACTTTCTCACTCCACATACTGCAGGCCTGGCTGCTCCATACTCTGTTCCAGCAGCCTCTGCCGTCCTCAGGAGCTGTTCCTACCTGGGCATTAGGGCCAGATGCCTCCAATACTCAAAACCTCCCTTCCTGTCTTTTCAGACCACTGACAAGGGAGCCTCAGCCAGCCAGGAAAAAGGCTAACTCGACCCTGCCTCTCCTGACCCCTACATGGCTTGAGGGTCCTTGCCTGGAATGGGTACCTGGGCCCGGACTCTGGAGAGCCAGCCCAGGGAGTGTGTGCCTGGAGTTCCAGGTCCTGTGGAGAGAGACTGGAGGGAACCCCTTCCACCTGGCCCGTTCCCGCACTGTACTGGCTGCTTCAGGAGCGAGGATCGGGGAGGACAGGCTCCAAGCCTGCCTAGGAGCCCCCATCCTCTGCAGATACCTAGGGCCCCCCCCAAAGAACAAAGCAGGTCATGGCATAGGAAGTGGAGAGTTGGTTGGACCTACCACGTAAACCAGTCAGCACTTGAATGGGGAAGCTGCAGGGTAGGCCCTTGGGCCACCCCTGTGTGGTATTCCTTATGGAAAAAGGGCTGGTCCCAGTTGACCTTCAGAGTCTTCCCAGCAGAAGGGGTCCCTTTGACTGTTTCCCATCATCCCTCCCCGCTGAGGGTCACAAGCTGAGCTTGGAAAAGCCTACAGATGTGGGGGGCTGAGGAAGGGCAGGATAGCACCTCTTGGGGCCCCATGATGGGGCTGGGCAGGGGATGGGGGTGTCCCTCACTGTCCTTGGTGTCCTGCCCCTTTTTGCACTATCGGCTTGAGGAGTGCCGAGGGTGGGGAGAGGGAGAGTGTGTGTGAGTGTGAGTGTGAGTGTGTGTTTATGGTCAGTCTGCTTAACCTGTCTGTCTGTCACCTCTTTCTCTGGACTTGGGGCAGCCAAGGGCAAGGACAGGAGCAGTGGCCAGAACCAGAGCAGGACTTCCTAGCTCTTGTAGCCTGTACCCCCTTCCCAGCTCTGGTCCTTTTCCAGGGCATGAATGGTAAAATTAAAAAAAAAAAAAAAAAAAAAAAAAAAGAGCAGTACTCCAATATTGGAGAATTCCTGGGGGCTGAAGGCTCTGAATCAGGGTAATATCCTACCTTCCCTTCTCTGGACCCCACTCTGTCTCAGGGCCCCTCAGGGCCTCTTCCCCCCACTGGTAATCTGGTCTTTCCTGGCACAAGAGATTAGGGAGGGGTAAAGCACTGCTTCTCCTATCTGAAGTCTCCATCCCTGAAGTAGCTCGCCTGCCCCTTCAGCCCCACCCTCACCAGCTAGTAAAGCCACTTCAGCTAACCACTGTCCCTTCCACCCACCAGCTGTTCTCCAGGGTGTGGTTGTAGGCGGCAGAGTCAGTCTGCCCAAGGCCGTTGTGAGAAACATTGAGTGGGGCCTCGGAAGCGCAGCCATGGAGGCCTGTGTCCCTTTTGGTTGCACTGGCTGGGACTGAGGGCCAGTTTTCCCCGATGTTCATGTCTGTGGGTCCCTTTGCATGTGTGCATTTTGGTGTGTTTCTGTTTGGGTTTTGTTTCGGGGGTTGTTTGTTTGGTTTTTTTTTTTTTGTAATAAAAAAGATGTGTATATTTTTGGCAATGACAGAAACGTAGTGCAGATATATTTTTGCCTGTGCTGCTCAACTTTTTTTTTTCTGGTATGGAAAATAATATTCCTGTTGATAAGACTTTGTAAGATACTAGGGTGGGTTGGGGACCTTCAGGAGCAAGTTCTTTGGCACTAGGAAGGATTTGTTTGAGGGGTCAGTTGTGTTGACCTCAGAAATACTCACTTTTCTAACTGCTTAGTATCGGAAAGACATGGTCCTCATCTTTTCAGCTCTTAACTTCTAGTCTAAAAGCCAGCGATTCTTCAGATTCTTAACAGCTTGCTTGCTCATCCAGGCCCACACCGTTACCCCAGCCTCCATTCAGAACCAGTCGTCTCTGCTGTGATGTCTGGAAGGCTGTCACATGCGGAGTAAGGAGGAGCCCTAGGCGCCCTGCCCAGATGCTCCTAGGCCCCACTCCGATCTCCGGAACTCTGCTCTCAGCTGTGCCGAGCTCCTCTTCCTGTTCTGGGCCAGGATGCTGAGCGCTCTGGGCCTCGCATAGATTGGTGCTGCTCTTTGTTTGTTTTTGGTTGTTTTTTCGTTTTTTGACACAGGGTTTTTCTGTGTAGTGGAGCCTCTCTTGGAACTCAACTCTAGATCAGGCTGGCCTCGAACTCACAGAGATCCACCTGCCTCTGCCTCCCAAGTGCTGGGAGTAAAGGCGTGTACTACCAACTACCACCTTTTTAGCTTTCAAAACAAGGTTTCTCTGTGTAGTCCTGGCTGTCCTGGAAGTTGCTCTGTAGACCAGGCCGTACTCAAACTCAGAAGTCTGCCTGCCTCTGAGTGCTGGGATTAGAAGCTTGTACTGCCACCACTGCTGGGTGGTGTTGCCCCTTGTACTGAGACAAGAGGGAAATTGTGACACTTTTGGTGAAGTGACAGGCACAGGGAAAATTAGGAACAGAGTACACGGCAGGATGGCAAGAATGACCTCACATCTTACAGTCTTAGTGGTTTTTGTTTTTGTTTTCCTGGGACAAGGTCTACTCTATTATGTAGCTCTGACTGTCCTGGAGCGTACTATGTAGACCAGGCTGGCCTCAAACTCAGAGAACCACCTGCTTCTGCCTCCCGTGTGCTGGGATTAAAGGTGTGCACCACCATGTCTGACTTTGGTCCATTTTTTGATAAAGAGCTTTGGTGGGGTAAGGGGAAAGATGCAGAATTGGAGCCATCTCTGTCTGGGGGAGCGGGAGGATGTGGTTTGCAGAGCGGAAGTGGAGCCTGAGAACGCATGAGTGGATCTTTACATCACCACCCTCAGTGAGAAGAGATGAATGAGCAATGCATGCCGAGTCTGTGCCCACCAGAGTGGTCATGGCTGGTGGAGCTCAGTGCTGAAAGGGATTCCACTGTAGTTAGGAGCTCATTGGAGCTGACTTTCCAGGTGACTGCTTTAAGCCTAGGAGGGACCGCAGCGATGAGCCTCAGTACCTAGCCTGGTCATTCCTGTCCCATTGCCCAGCCTTCCAGCTGCAGCTAGTTGGTTGGCTGTCCCTGTGTGTGTGGTATGTGTGATGGTGTGGTTGCGAGTGTAGGATGGTGCCCATGGTGGGAAGGTATCTATGTAGCACTGACTGTCTTAGCTCCGAGCTGACGAATCCTCTCCATAGACAATGACACTTTAAGGGTTGCCTTTAAAAAGAATAAATTGTTATCTCCCCATCCCCTCTCCCTCATCCCAGCTTGTGGTTTCTCCCTCAGGCTCTTGGGTCTACCGCTGCCCCTAGGTGCCCTGATCTTGAGGCTGGTGACCCATTCCCTTTACCGTGTTGAGACCCAGGGAGTGCCTACCCTAGACTCCTAGGAAGAGGCTAGACAAATGAGGGGAGCCCAAAGAAAGGGTAACATTTACATTTCCCTCTTCCAAACTGGCGATGCTAACAGGTTTTCAAAGACACAGGCTCCCCTGCTGCTTTCTAACATCTTTAAGAGTGCAGTGGGCCAAAGGGAATAAATAGCAGGCAGCTGGTTCCTGGGGAGAGGTACCCCATGGACGGAACTTCACCCACATCTTGGAGGAAGGTGGGGCCGGGAAGCCTTTCTGATCCCTCTACTCACTTCCTCCTTGATTGCCGGTGTGTTTCAAATTTCCACCAGACCACCTTGTCTTGACCTACTGAAGAGGTGGGGACTGAGGGCTGCCCCCATTCTCCTGTGTTCACTTTCTCCAGCCTCACTTGGGACTGAAGACCGAACTCTGGCTCCCTTCCTTCCATCCCAGCCTGTTTCCATGTAGCAGACCCTTCCTAGGGGAGCAAGGAAGGGAAGCCACAGATTGCAAACCCAGGGGCTCATTTTTCATTCTTTCTGAAACCTTTATATCCTCAGTCCAAGAGGCAGTGTTCCCTTGCGACCTCCAAGCCTGGAATTGTGCATAGCCTGGGTCTTGTATCTTTGTATAACGGATGTTATTTGTACGAAGGGCAGTTCGTAAACAGCACTTGTTCTTTTAATAAAAGAATGTTTTACTAAAAAAAAAAAATCCAAAGAGAACTTGCTTTGTTTGGCTTTACTGAAGGGAGGGAGATGGGGTGCCAACTGTGGGGGCCTGTGGGAGGAGGAAGACGGGTATATATGGTCAATGACCTTTTTTTCAAATACTTGGAGGAATAGTTTAAACCCGAAAGCATGTCATATGCGGTGCAGGTGAAGATGCAGGCACCCGAACCCTGTTGGGTGATAGATCTCCACACTGCCTGTGTTTCTAAACACTGCCTTCGACTCCGCAGAGCCAGGGTGGCACCTGCGGGCTCCAGGGCTGCATTGCCTGCCCCTCCTGCACGGGGCCGGGCGGCGTCTTCCGGAAGGGGGAGGGGTGGAGGAAGAGGAGCGGAGAGGGTGGCGACCCGGACGCGGCCGCGGCGGTACGCAGATTGGCCATGCGCGGCTTGGGGACGAACCTGCACGCTGTGGTCATGCGCGCGGCCTCGGTGAGCGTCCCCTCTCTGGTGACCCCGGGCCGTTCAGTCCCGCCTCCCCGGCCAGGGCCAGGCTCCGCCCCTCGGCCTCGCGATCCCTCGGGGCAGTCTTTTCTCTAGAGGACTCTCCTAGTGGATGCCAAGACCTGCCTCTACTGCGACCCTTTTCCCAATCTTTTTTGTCGCTCCCACGCCCCCTTAGCCTGTGGTCGTTTCCTTCCCAGATGGGCTTCCGGCGTCCTCCCTTCTCCACTGATTTTATTTTTCTGTTTCCAAATCACATCTGTCTGCCGGCCTTGTCGAAGCTGTGCCAGAGGCGGGAAATCTCCTCTTGGCTGGTGAGTACAAGAACGCCTTCTCTCAGCACACAAGTCCCGTCCATTTCCTGGATCTCAGGGCTACATCGAAGACAGTGACCGGGGACACCCCCGCTCCCAGCCGGGTCTAGGGAAGGTTTGGTGGACCAGAGGGCAGAAGGCAAGTAGCCAAGTCTTCTGGGCTGAGGGGAGGTCAGTCACATGATAAGCCAAGTCCCAGGGTTAGAAGAAGGTAGCTGGGATCATGCAAACTTACAGTATTTCCAAGGTTTGGGATGACCCTGAGCCTCTTATCTTCCCTGGCCATAGGCCCGATGGTTCCCCAAAGAACCAGCCAAGCCCGTGGTGGCACAGAAAACACCCATCAAGTTGGAGCTTGTTGCAGGAAAAACCTACAGGTGGTGTGTATGTGGCCGAAGCAAGAAACAAGTGAGTTATTCCAGTTGCCTTTCACCCAGTTCTATACCGCCCTGAACAAACCTGACCTCAGAAGCTAAGCAGGGGTAGGCCTGGTTAGTGCTTGGATGGGAGATGCGACACACACACTCACACACCCATCTCCACAGCTCCCTCTCTTGCTTGGGGTCAGCATGGGAACTTTCAGCCCATCTTTATTTCCCATCTTTCTGTGTATACCCTGATACAATGGGAGGGCTTGATAGCAAAAGACCCGCTCACAGTGCATCCCTCATGCCCTTCTGAGAAGCATTCGAAGCAGAGACGGGAAGATGCCTGTGCTGTGACTGGCTCAGTCTCCTCTCCTTCCAGCCCCTCCTCCCTGTGTGTACACTTCGGGGCCAGCTCTGGGGCACCAAGGGTTTGAATGTTTTTCCCTCTCCCTCCCCGTGGGCAGCATCTCTGCCACACGCCAGGCTTTGGACCTCACTGCTGGGAAGGTTCTGCCGTCTTCCCCGGGTCTCTCAGCCTGCCCTCTTTTCACCTCAGATATGATTTATTTTGCCTGGTGCCTTCTGAGACCATCCTGCACTGTAGCGGGAGCCTCCCTCTTTCTGGAGAATTCTGCCCTGTTCCCCAGCCCCTGTGATTGGCGTGAGAAGCCCAGATCCCAAGGCTTCCTTTGCCACACTTTTGTTGTGGCCTTTGAACAGATATTCCAGAGGGTGGGGCACTTTCAAGGGCATGCCAGCCGGAGGACTGTGGGTGGGGTAGCTGCACACGCCTACTCTATGCCCTTTAGGAGGGTGTGGGTCTGCCTCTTCTCTCTGGTCCTACAAAGCCTCTCCCCTTTGGGCCTGTCTTCGTCATCCTATTTGGAGGGACATGGTGCATGCATTACTAATGCTACTCCAGGCAGGCAGGTTGACACAGACACCCCTTGCTGTTTTCTGAACTCTGGAAAGGCTGCTGGGCTCTCCCTGGGGGACATTGTGAAGAATGTCACTTTCGTGAGTCAGTGGGGATTCACTCAGCCACTGAAAAAATAAATAAAACAAAACTCAGGGTGGGATGCAGCTCTGTGGTTAGATGTTTGTCTCATGGGCATGGAAGCCTCTGGATCTGTCCCGTGTGGAATGAACAGGGTGACAACACCCGTCTGAAGTCCTAGCACCTGGAAGGTGAAGGCAGGAGAATAAGGGTTAAGGGTCAGCCTCAGGCAGCAGAACCTGTTCAAGGTAGGCCTGGATTGCAGGAGAACTTACCTAAAAATAAAAGAGAACTGGTAAGGGGCTCGGTGGTTCGAGGCGCTTGTCAGAGCAGCTGGCTGACTTGTGTGATCCCAGAGCCCGCAGGGTGAAAGGATAAAACCAACTCCCACATTCGCCCCGTGACTTGTGTGTGGGCACGAGCATGTGCTCGCATGCGCACACATACCAAATTTGAAACATGTAAAAGCCAAACGACAAAAGACTCCATCCAGCCTTGTTTGTATTGACATTGCCTCTACCTGAGGCCCAGTTCCCCTTGTGAATTGTTCTGGCTTTCCCAAAGAAGAACAATGAGAAATACTTATGTTACTGTATGGTGGCCTCATGGCAGCCTTCCTGTGACCCTGATATTGCAGGGCTGGGAACAATAACTGTGGTCAGCGCTCCTCCCACCCCACTCTGACTTCTTTTTCTCCCACCAGCCCTTCTGCGATGGTTCCCACTTCTTCCAGCGCACCGGCCTTTCTCCGCTCAAGTTCAAAGTCCAAGAGACCCGCACAGTGGCCCTGTGTACCTGCAAGGCCACCCAGCGTCCTCCTTACTGCGATGGTACCCACAAGAGTGAGCAGGTACAGAAAGCAGAAGTGGGCTCCCCACTTTGAGGGGTCCCGTGGCTCCTGGCCCTGCTGCAAGCTTCCGCTGTGATGGCCACAGTGCTGAGGCATGGAGGAAGGGTACGTCCAAGGACCATGGCTGCTTGTTAGCAATTGTCCCCTAAAAAACCTGTGGTCTCCTGTTATGTAATTGAGAGCAGGCCTCCTGGTAAAGCTGTCATTAAACAGTGAGGCCTACCCTCTGAGTATCCCTGTGGTTACTGGCAAGGCTCATGCCACCCCTTGCAAGAGAGTATGCATGATCTGTGGAGACAACTGGCCAAAGCAGGGCAGTTCAGATCTACTCAGTCAACATGGTAGGGCTAGGGAGCACCTCCTCCCTCCTCCCTCTGCCCCAAAGAACCACAGGCTCAAGAGTATGCAGCATTTATTACAAAACCAAGAGATACAAATGACCCAGGACAGGTGGGTACAGTCACAGAACCTCAGACTCAGGACATGGCGCAAAGAGACCCCACAGGCTCAGGACCTCACATACCTGAGCCAATACCCTGGTCTCCTCCCCCCACCTCCCCCCATCTATGTACACTTGAGGAAAACCAGGTAGGCAAGGTCGGCCCCTAATAGGTGGTCCACTAGGTAGAGTGGGGTCAGCTTCCACTTTATTTTCTTGTGCTTCTAATGCCTCTGTCCTGTCTCCGCTACGCCTTAGCTAGGGGAGGGGAAGTGGACTAGAAAGCTGTTGGCCTGTGCTTGTCCGGGGTTCCACGCCCCAACCCTTCACTCCAGGCCCCCAGGGAGTGTCACCTCCCTGTCTTGCTAGTAGGGGTTCCTGGGTCAGGGTAGGGTAGAAGGAAAGTCACACATAGACTTTGCAGGGCTGGGGTCTCCCCATAGCCTGAATCTTCTCTTCCATAAAGATAAATGATACAAAGGCCACACACAGGAAAAAAGAAAAAAAAGAAGGGGGGGTGGGGGATAAAAAGGTGGAACCATCTATTCTTTGCACAAGGGCCCCACTGTCCAAGGAGGTGAGGGAAATGCCTTCTCCATGGCCAGTTGATCCTCGCAGCCAGAGGACAAACTGCACTTTTTAAAGGCACTGTCTTAGCAATTCTCTGGACATTCAACAATAGGGGGGGCTTAGAGATAGACCCCATTATCTGGTCAGCTAGGAGACCCAACATGCCCTCTGCCCCGGGAAGTGGAACAAATACAGGGGAGGGCTTTAATACTTCCAGTGGCCTCTTAAGACCACCAGGTACCCCCCCAGAAGAGCAGAGCAAACTACAGAAGACCCCCTAGACACACACACACACACACACACACACACACACACAGAGTTTGTTTCCTGTGGCATTTAAATTAATCTGGTTGGTCCATAGAAAATAAGTATGTATATTTGGTTTTTCCTATGTACATATATATATTTATATATAGATAGATAGATAGATTTATTTATAAAACCCACCTCCCACTCTGAAGATGGGAGGAACCAGGAAAGTCAAAGGTGGAAAAAGGGGACCAGAAAAAGTAGAAGGGAGGGGGAGAGGTGGCTGCTGCGGGAGAGGGTCCCTTTCCTCAAGTTAAGGGGGGCAAGGAGCTCCGTTAACAGTCATCTTGCGCCCCCTGCTGGTGGAGGATGGCGTTTGCAGGCAGTTCGAAGTGCCCCCGTTGGTAGCAGCTGTGGTCCCACAGGCGGTCGACGGTGGAGTGGGGGAGGTGGGGGGGGGGGCTGGGGGGCCGTGGGAGCTGGGAGAACCATGGGATGGGGTCGCAGGGCTGGGCAAGGAGGAGGAGGTGGCCGGAAGGGTGGCAGGGCTGGGAGCCTTGTCGCTGACAGACTCACACTCTGATGCCCCGCTGGTGTTGGTGCCCTCTGAGGGAGTGGGCACTGTGGGCAGGGTGAGCCGCTTGCAGGCTGGCTGGACACGGTACTTGAGGGGGAGAGGCCCATTCTGTGGTGAAAAGGAAGAGGCCGGCAATAAGAAAAGAAACTGTCAGCAGAAAGAACAACCAGGGGCCACCCATCCTGGCATCCAAACCAGGACCCAACCAGGAGCAGAGGGGAAGGTCTGAACTTTGAAGAGGAGAGGGGCCTGCAGAGTGGAGAGTCAGATGAGAGCAGACCCAGTGAAGTAAGAGTGTAAGAGATGGAGGCAGGAGTGTAAGGCCACCATATGCCACAGTGGCCACCCTTACTGCTGACCCCAAGTCTGGGTGGTAATAGCCAGCGGAAGGCATCAGCAACAGATGTGGTAGGTATGCCGGTAATCTCAGTACCTGGGATGGCGTGGAAGTGGGGGAGGAGGACTGGACCTCATACCAAGTTTGAGGCTAGCCAAAGAGAGAACCTATCTCAAACAAACAAACAAACAAAATGGCCCAGCGCTGACCTGGTATGATGAGCCACCAGGGCCAGGCCTGGCTCCAGAGACCATAAGAGGGTGTCTCATGTCGCTGTGGCCACTGACCAATGCCAGGCTCAGTAAGACCTCCTCCCTGGGACTGCCCCCATCTTGTACCACCTGCTCACAGGCTCACCCTCCGCCAGGGGTAGATGTAAGCAATGTCCATGAGGGTATAATATTCCTTCAGGGGCTCATCTTCATAGAGGATCTCCACCTGGAGGGGAAAATGTCACCTTGAGGCCTGGCAGCTGCACCCCTGGCTGCCAGGGTGGGAGTCCCAGGGGGTTGGATGTGAGCAAACCAAAAGGTGGCTTGCAGGAGGCTCCTCCTTCCTGTAGATGTGACTTCCCTTCCAGACTGTCCCTCAACCTGCTCCTAGAGAGCCAGCAAGGCCAAAGGGACCCCCTTGACTGAGGTCCTTGCCTGTGATGGCCCTGTCCCTGCATCTGCCCTAACTGGTGAATGCAACAGTGCCTACTGTCTCCCTGTCCCAGGTGTGGGCTAAGGGAAGCCTTCGCAGGAGCAGAATCTCAGAGTGTGTCAAAGAAGCAGGGTCGGCTGACTCAGAGACCTACAAGGGAGCCCGTGTTACCGTGTCCAAGAGCTCCCTGACCATCGTTTTCTTTTTTTTTTTAAGATTTATTTATTTATTTATTTATTTATTATGTGTACAGTGTTCTGCCTGCATGTGTGACTCCAGGCCAGAGAGAGCACCAGATCTCATTACGGATGGTTGTGAGCTACCATGTGGTTACTGGGAATTGAACTCAGGACCTCTGGAAGAGCAGTCAGTGCTCTTAGCCTCTGAGTCATCTCTCCAGTCCCCCTCCATTTTTTTCAATTTATTTAACTTATTTCTTTTATGTGCATTGGTATGAAGGTGTCAGATCCCCTGCAACTGGAGTTACAGACAGTTATGAGCTGCTATGTGGATGCTGGGGATTGTACCCAGGTCCTCTGGGAGAGCAGCCAGTGCTCTTAACCATTGAGCCATTTCTCCAGTCTCCCTGACCCTTTTGAAGGCCCAACATTTTTTTTGCACGCACACTTCCCTGGTCTTGGGCCTTTTGCACACCAACTACAACAATTACAGACTATCTTATCCTAAACAACTGGGCTAGCCTACCCGTTGCTGCAGGTCCAGCTATAGAACCATGTGATGGATGGGATGCCCACCAACCAGACACATTGATGGACCCCCGATGTCTGAGACGGTGCAGGCATTCACCTTGTACTTGCTGGGTACGTCCATTTTGTTGCGGAGAAACTTTGCGAGGTGCATGACCGTCATGGCTGCTGGGCACCGCAGGAAGCGCACCCCTGTCTGTGGGGAAGAGGTCCCAGTGAGAAGGTCTATCCACGGCACTCTCGGCTCACAGCTCACTCCTGTGAAGGCCCCAGCGCTCACTCACCTTCTCCTTGTCCCCATCCCCGTTCTCCATGAGGCTCTTCTTCTCCTCTCGGTCCCTGGAGGAGACAGAAAGGAGCAGAAGATTGTGCACTTGCTGGGTCAAATGCACAGGTCTGACGGGGTCTTGGAGGATGGGCCAGGGTGAAAAAAGGGCTTAGGTTGAACTTGCCTGACTCCTTCGTAGAACTCAATGGAAAGACTGACAATCTCATCATCGCCCAGAGCCCCCTTCTCCTGCTCTAGGACCTCGCCGCGGTCCTCGTTGGAGCCATTAGGGACTGTAGAGGGAGACAGCTCAGAGGGGTTGGTCAAAGATAGAGCAAGGGACTGAGGACCTAGGGAATGGGAGTCGGTGGCTCAGAGGCTGAGCCCTACCCCCTCTGGACAACACTGTCTAGCAGGGAGGTCTGGTGGAAATGGGAGGGCCAAAGCTGGTACCCTCAACCCTCACAGCTGGGGCAGCCCTAGGCTCTCAGGTTGCCCTCAGGAACCAGAACATGCTTGAGCGTGGGCACACTCACCCTCCGTCAGGGGGTATGCCGCATAAAAGTCCCGACGCCGTTTCATCTCATCTAGAGGAAGGAGGCGGGCATGAGCGGGCAACAGCTGGGAAATGGGGGAGGTGAGCAGGACAACACAGGGGCTCGGGGTACCTTTAAAAAGCCCAGGCACCAACTTGTAGACAATGTCCTGGAGGGTTTTGTCCGACCTGGGAAGGAATGTACATGAACGTTAGCAGCCATGGGACCTTCATCCCTCCAGCCAGGGATCAGCATTGTACCCCTTTAAACCCAGCACCCAGGCATGCAGGTTCTCAGTTGGGCATTTCTTAGCCTAGGTCAAGCTGGAAGCCACTGGGAGGCAGGATAAGGGGATACAAGCCCACCTGATGCTCAGGAGTGGTCGGGTTTTATGAACCTGGACGTCACACATGGGGCAATATTTGTTGGTCTCCAAGTAGCGCACGATGCAGGTTTTGCAGACTTGGGGTGTGGACAGAGAGAGGACAATCAGAACCCCTTTCTGCCCAGACCTATGCTTCCATTCGGCCTTCCCTTCCCACCAGGACCCAGGAGCTCAGGACTGCTCCCAGACCCAAGGTGGCAGTGTGCTCACACATCTGGCCTGTTGCGCCTTGTCTACCCTTAGGCCCAATGTCTCTGTGTGAAACAGGAGGGTGTCCTTGTCCTGCCTAACATACACAGTGTGCCAAGCCTTAGGCTCCTCCTTGCCAGCCTGCTAAGACATCCCACGGGTCCTGGATCTCTTGTGACCGATCTGACAGTGCAAGTGAGTGACCCCTAAGCCTTCAGGGGTCAAACTTCAGGCAGAGCTATCAGAGAAAGGGGAGGTTTCTAATACTGTCCCTGGAATGAACTGGGTCCAGGATTACCCCCACTTTGTCCCTCCTTGGCAGTTTCTGGGTGACCCAGGGTCCGCTCTCCAGTGTCCCCAGGCAGCGTCCCCACCCTGAGCACCCCAGCACTGAACTCACAGGAATGCAAGCACTCCACAATGGTGGTGGCGTCGATGAAATAGCCCCCACAGAGGGCACACATGAGGTGAGGGTTCAGCTCCGTGATTTTAATCCGTGTGGTTCGATGCATGATGCCAGGGGTCAGGACTGAGGAGACTTGGGAAGTGTCACCCTGGGAAACAGAAATGGGATCAGAAACCCAGCCGCCCTCAGCCACTTCCCCACACTGCTTCCATCAATATAGCTTTCCTGAGCCCACGCCCCATCCCCTCCCCTACCCCCCCCCCCCCCCCGTCTCAGATGTGGAACCAGACACATGTTTGAGACTGGCTGTTTCTGGGCCTCCCTCTGAGTGTTCACTGGGTGTTAGGGGCTCGGGAAGCTTCTGTAACTCTGAGAAATAAGGTCGTGGACCATCTCAGACGCAATAGGAAAGACTGAAGTCAGACCCTAAGAAGCACTAACCAACTCCTGACGATAGATGTGGGAGGGTGGGAAAATGAAAGGTAACGGTGCTTTAAAGATCTTCCTGGGATCCACTGCCGGCGGGCAGTGGCGCACATCTTTAATCCCAGCACTTGGGAGGCAGACAGGTGGAGCGAGTTCAAGGGTAGGTTCCCAAAGCTATACAGAGAAACCCTGTCTCAACCGCCCAGCCCCGCAAAGATCTTTCTGGGAGCCATGGGCCTGTGAGAGGGCTCACCAGGTAAAGGTGATTGCAGTCAAGCCTAGTGACCCCCACATGATGGTGGAAGGAGAGAAAAAAACAAGGGCTGCAAGTTGTCCTTTGACTACTTGCAAATACACACACACACACACACACACACACACACACACACACACGTGCGCGCACTAAATGTAATAAATTTTTTTTTCTTATTAATACAGTATTTATTTGTCTTCTCTCTGTCAAACCCTGAGCCAATCCCTTTGGTACAGGAAAAGGAACATACAGGGCAGATGGGACACAATTATGGGACGTGGAAGTGGAGACACCTGCTTCACATGGTGAAAAGGATGAGAAAGGCCACCGTTAGGTGAAAGAGCCCCAAGGCCTCTGAGAGGGCAAAGCCCAGAATGGCGTAGGAGAAGAGCTGTTGCTTCAGAGAAGGGTTCCTGGCGTAACCAATGATGAGGCTCCCCAAAACAGTTCCAATCCCAGCCCCAGCCACCCCAACAATGAACTTGGCGGCTGTGTCGATGTCCCTGGAAATGACACTGGTTTGGAAGCTGCAGCTAGGGACAAGTGAGGTCAAAGGACAAGAGACTGTCAAACCGCCTCATCTGTCCGTGTCTGTGGGTTCAGCTCCACTGCAGACAGTGGACGACTCAGCAGCTGAGAGGCGCTCCTGACCAAGGAGTGGGTGGAGATGGATTTGGAACAGGCATACATTTTCAGGGGTGAGGGGCCAAGGCAAGAGAGCTGCTCCCAGGGTAGAGAAGACAGAGCAAAAAATTTTAACAATATTCCTGATTCCAACCATATCCATTCAAGTGGTCAAATATTTACCAAGTACTAACAGCTATGAGAAATTGTCCAGACAACCCCGTTCACGTACCAAAATGAATTGCTGCCCCAGCAATGAGAGATTTGTCATGGGGAAGCCTTGAGGGACATTAGGACACAGGCCCATCACACTCCCTCCTCTACTGTCCCTGGACACATACAGCTCCTTGCAAGGCTACCATGTGCTGACCTGGCCTTCTGGCTGGGAACCCTGAAGCTGGTTTTCATTATGTCCCAAGTTATGAAGGAGCTGCAGGCCCAGCCTGGCACTGCAGGCCTAGCCTGGCACTGGACTCTACAGGTAGTCCAAGAGCCTGGCAAGAAGACCTTTACTGCCCTATGTGAGAACCACCCCACAGTATCCACCCCCCAATAGCACACTGAGTGCTCTCCAGTGTGTGCGTGGTTCAGGGACCTACTCTCATGAACACACAGAATTGCTTCATATGCCGCTGGGACCCCACCACATCCTAATGTGGTGACTTCTCCCACCCATTCACAGCCTACCACCACCAAACCACAGACTCTCCTAGACACCTGCCAAACCTGGGCAGCGAGCATTCTCTGTCCCCAGCTCTCCAGTGCACCTGGCCAGGCCCTAGCAAGCCAAGGTCGTTTCAAAGCTGGCTCTGACTCTGGGCTGGAGGAGGCTGCCTCTTTCCGTCTCTCCCACAGCAGAAGTCCAGGAGCCGGGCTTGAGAGGCTGGCTAAGCCCCAGCGACTCCTTTACACCATACATCCTTCTCTTTTCCAGAAAGATTTCTAAAGCCACCACGCTGGCTTTTCTAGGACAAGAAATTCACAGCCAGGATCAGCAGTTTCTATAGAGACCCCAGGATGAGCCTGGCCTGGACCCAAACAGCCAATAAGGCCCCAGGGCACCTGGCCAGAGACGAATAGATGGAGAGACACAAAGGCCACACTTGGGACAGACACGGAACTGCAGAAAAGAAAGGGGGACAAGCCAGCCAGAGGCAGTGAGGCAGCCACCCCTGGCCTACAAAATTTCTGCCCCTATAGGTGGCCCTAGCTGGTCTTCCCTGCATGGGTCCCCCTTCACAATTTCAAAGAGGCTGTTGGCTACTCTACTGTTTAGTTGTTTCCATGGTAACATAGTCCCTGGCAAGAAGCCCAAATATTATTACAACCATCCAGAGGATAGAAGAAACTCCAAGTGGCTGTCTCTTTGAGCGTGGGTAATAGCCACGGTGGTACGTGCTGTCTGGGCTTCCAAAGGTACGTCATGTGACTGCTTGCCTTGTGTGTGCCTGCGTCCAGAGGCACACAGAGACGTAAGCTGTATCAGAGTAGGATCCAGCCAGGGAATCTCGGTTGCTACGGTAAGGTGTCCCCCACATGTGCAATACAAAACACACACACACACACACACGAATATATGCATTCTTCACAATGCCTCAGCCACTTCAGGCACACGCTCACTTCATTAGCAGATAGAGAAGCCACACAAACCCCACTCAGTTCATCTTTCTTAGGTTTCACACAAGAGCAGCCCCCAGGTCCCACTTTGGGCTCAGTCAGGGTAGTGAGGGAAGGAGATGCTATGGACTGAAAAGCTCCTTGTCTCCCCTGGGAGCAGAGAGCCTCCATGTTCCCCATCCCCAGGGGCCTCAGAAAGCCACAAGAGGCACTGATTGGCTCCTCACCTGATTGCCATGGTTACCTGCAGGGCCCTGTCAGCAGGTGCCAAGAGTGTCTGTAAACAGGAGGTCTGAGTTCCCAGAGCATCCCCTTCCCATTTCCCTGCCCAGCATCAGGACCTGTATTCCTTCTTCCCCATGCAAGTGGCTGTGGTGCTGGGGGAAGAAGAGGGAAAGGAATGATGCACTGCATCACTGTGGAGGAGACAGCCTGGAGGGGACAGCCAAAAGAGACAAACGGCCCATGGAAGGAAAAGGGAAAGGCAGAGGTCCCAAGAAGCAGAAAAGGGGCAGAGGTCATTTGCAGCTGGTCTCTGTGAAGCTGAAGAGGCTAGTCCCAACTACATCTGTTTAACACCCCCTACACACACACACACACACACACACACACACACGCCGTGCACACGTGGCTTTATCTGAAGTCTTGGTCTCTGTTCTTTTTGGCCCTAGCTCTTGACTCCCAGGGGCCCCAGGCAGAAAAGGGGCTTGGTCAGCACCTAGCTAGCAGTCCATTGCCATCTGAGCCCATCTGTGTCTCTCCCCCATGCTCCCAGCCCCTGCTGACAGACGCCTCCCATCTCTCCAGGGAACCAGACTTCCTTCTCTCCTGTAGGTAGGTGCTGGCCTCTGTCAAGCAGAGAGAGGTCCCAGGGACACCAGCCACAGCCCTCCGCCTCGCTGGTGCACCAAAACAAGCCCCAGGTCGTGAGAGGTCATTCAAGGTCACATCCTGGCACTTGACTAGCAGAGGTGGAGGTGATCTTTGAATGCCTGTTATGCAGTCTTCTCATTTTACAGATGTGACTTGGCCAAGGTCACACAGCTAAACGGGGGCAATGCTCAGACCAGTATCTGCCAGCCTCCTATTGTAATGCTCTTCCTACTTTGGTACCCAGAGGGTGCTGCTTACTCCACAGAGCCAGTGGTAGAAGGGTGGAGGGTAGTTACTTAGCGGGCAGGAAGCCCCATACACTGGGCCTGCTGAAAGGGAGGCAAAAGTTAATGCCCACACCACTCCCACAGTATGGGGAGAAACTGAGGCACCATAGGAACAGAATAAGCCAGAGTATAGTGTGTAGACAGAATTCCTAGTGTTGGTTCCTCTTCTAGGTTCATAGTTCCAATTAAGCAGAACTTGTGTGTTCATGTATGGACCAGCCCACCCTCTCATCTTTTCCTGCCCTTTGACACAGGAAAAAGGCTGGAAGCCCCCTTTCCCCACCACTCGGCTCCTGACGACAATTTAAAAGAAAAAAAAAAAAAAGGAAAATAATAGTAGTTAAAAAAACAAAAACAACAACAACAAACCCAAAGAATATACGCAGGGCAACAACTGCAAGACACATGCCTATCCAGAGCCAGACACACCCCCTTCATCTCCTGTCCACAGCACCCAGAACCAGATAAGGACAGTCACACAGAAGGCACACAGACACTTGGCCAGACACACACCACCACATACGCAGCTAGTCAGGAGTCAGACTCCCACTCCACAGATGCAGAAATCATTCCCATCTACCCCATCGCATGCCGCCTGAAACCGGAGCCACCAACATTAATTAACCTTCTATGAACCCCTGGTCTTCTCGGGGTAAATTATAATTTAAGCCTTCCAGCAACAAAGGCAGTTCGACCCCCAGCTCTGCTCTGGGGCCAGAGGCTGGAGGGCTACGGTTGACATCTGACCTATACAATATGTAACCTCTTCCACTTCAGGCTCTCTCTGTTCCCATGGCAACAGCTCCATCAACCAAGATCTCAGGGAGTCATTTCCCTCCTCTCTGCTCACCTCCCAATAGTTCAACTTGAACAGAAACAGGCGACAGCCGGACTGGATCGTGGAGTCTGTTTCCTACCGCATAGCAAACACAGGTTCTAAGTGCACAAGCCCCAACCTTAAACCAGGGGAGCCCCTGGGAAAACCTCTCCACCAAACGCTGCAACAGAGCTGGCTTTATGCTCCTCCGATTACAGTAATAACATCTTGGAGCAGGGAAAGGGATGTGTGTGTGTGTGTGTGGGGGGGTCATGAGTTTCAGGAACACTGCAACTGCAAGAAGTCCAGAGTGGGAGGCCCAGGACTGTGTGAGCTGGCTAAGAGAAACCCCTCCCTCAGTGAGAGGGAGCCAAGAGAGACCGAGGCAGCATGGGGGATGGCGGGAGCAAGGCTGGGGGCCAGGAGAGACAAAGAGGCGGGGAAAACTCTTAAGTATATAACACCTGTATATACTTAAACATTTCATATTCACACATACATACCCTCCTCACTCAAGCCAAGCATGGCAATTTTAGGTAGACCCGGGGAGTGTGGGGGGGGCTTGACTAGAAGCCCCTAGGAGACAAGAAGGGTGCGGGGTGTCTGCAGGCCCAGGGTTCCCCAGCTTTCAGAGCTATTTACGCCAGGGCTCAGGGAAGAAAGAGTAGCCGCTTCCATTTGCTCCCGCTGCTCCATGGAAAAAGGACCAGCTCATCAGACCCCTTGGCCACTACTGGTGAAAGGGAGAGAGCATGCTAAATCTCTCCTCGTTCCCATTCTACCCGCTCCACCCCTGTTTCCCCCGGAGCTCAGGTCAAAGGATCAGGCACCCCAGTGACCGAGTGGCCACTCCCTCCTTTCCCTAGAGCCAAACTTTGGTGGGGCCCCAGGAGGGACGTAGGGGAAAAGCTCTGGCGAGGTGGTTCAGGGAGGGGGCGGGGCGCCTCGCACCAGGACTGGGGAAAGGGACCTCTGGGGGAGGTGCCCAAGATCCGGACCCCAGCAGTTAGGGCGCCCTCCCCCGGCCTCGCAGCCACCAGAAGGCCAAGTCCCCTTCCTCCAGTCCTCGCGCGTCTACCACGCTCACTGCCCACGCGAGAGGCGACCCTTGCCCGACTCGGAGGGGGCTGATCTGCCAGAGCCAATCTGTTCCGGCTGGTGGAGACACTGGGGTGGGGGTGAGACCCACCCTAGCGAGTGTCCCCAAAGCCCTCGTGGCCGCCCGGACCCTCCCCCTCGATACCTCGCGAGCAGGGTCTTAGCAGGGGGCTGCTGCACAAAGAGGAGGTGGTCGAGGGAGACGCCAAATCGTTAAGAGGGGGAATCCACTTCGGCCATCTTGGAAGGGAGGAAAGGAAAAAAAGAGAGAGAGAGAGAGAGACCGGGAACGGGAGAAAGAAAGGCGGACGGGGCGAGCTTGGACAGCGGCTGGCGGGGCGGGAAGGGGACGCGATCGGCAGGCCAGGCCGGGGCTCCCGGCTCCCACTGGGGTCTGCGGGGAAAGGTGGACCGGCCAGAGTCGCCAGCCCCAAACGCTTACGAGGTAGCAAGGAGGCAGGCGCGAGTCGGCGTCCGCTTACCTGGCTTCGGGGTCCGGTGGGTCTCGGGGAGGGGGGGATGGGA